GAGGTAGAGTAGGGGGATGGGACAAAATAGGTGAAAGGAGTCAAAAGAAGCAAACATCCAGATGTGAAACAAATAAGTCACGGGGATGTCACCTACAGCATGGTGACTGGTGCTAATAATACTGTATCACATATTTGAAAGTTGCTAAGAGAGTAAGTCTCAAAAGTTCTCATCACAAGAAAAAATTCTTTAGGTATGGTAATGGATGTTAACTAGACTTATGTTGAATATGTACAAATATTGAATCATTATGTTGTATACCTGAAACTAACATAAACTTTAATGTCAACTATATCTGAATTTAAAAAATCTGTTCTTAGGCACCTGGGGGGCTCAGTGGGCTAAAGCCTCTGCCTTCAGCTCAGGTCATGGTCTCAGGGTCCTGGGATGGAGCCCCACATCAGGCTCTCTGCTCAGCAGGGAGCCTGCTTCCCCCCTCTCTCTGCCTGCCTCTCTGTCTACTTGTGATCTCTCTCTGCCAAAATAAATAAATAAAATTTAAAGAAAACCTGTTCTTTATTTTTTAAACATTTTATTTTATTTATTTTTTACTTCTATTTTTTTTTTAAGATTTTATTTATTTATTTGACAAAGACCAGATCACAAGCAGGCAGAGAGGCAGGCAGAGAGAGAGCGGGAAGCAGACTCTCCGCTGAGCAGAGAGCCCAATGTGGGACTCGAAATTTTTTACTTTTATTTTTTAAAAAGATTTTATTATTTATTTGAAAAACAGAGGCAGAGGTAGCAAGGGAGAGCAGGAGCTGGGAGGAGCGGGATAAGCGGGCTCCCCACCGAGCAAGGGAGCCAGATGCGGAGCCAGATTCAGGGCTGGATCCCAGTGTAAGGGCCTACTTAGCCAGAGTGAGCCATTTTGTTGTTTATGCAGTAAACTTAGATTGAACCTGCCCCTTCCCCCAAGAGGAAAGCGCTTAGAAACAGAACTGGTGAAATACGGCCAAATAACCCCCAATAATGGAGCACAGATAGCAGGACATGTCAGGCTGGGCACGGATAACGGAGTCCAGATACAAGGACGTGTCCGGCCAGGTGGAAACGTCCAATCAGGAAAGCACCTCCCTAACCACCCAAAAATGTGGGCCCTGCCTTTTGGGCGCCAATTCTGACCAGAGTGACAGGCTAGTTCAAATAACTACTATAGGGTGAATTGTAATTCAATTGGCCACTTGTGTGTGGCCAGGCTCGACCACATGGCCTTCACTCTATAAAAGCTAGTCTGTGAGGCTGGGAGGGGTCGCCTCTTTGCAAGAGACGGCCCTGGCCGGTCAGCTTGATTGTCGATGCTTGGTGCGAAATAAAGCCCTGCTTAACTTTCACTTTGTATCAGTCTCGTCCTTTTGTCTATGGACCCTTTCACCAGGACCCCAGGATCACAACCAGAGTTGAAAGCAGACGCTCAACCGACTGAGCCACCCAGGTGCCCCAAAGTCTCTGTTCTGATGTCAGTATCTTTGGGCTTTTCCTCTTGGGTTGGTCAGAGTCCTTGAAGAAGACACGCCGCATTTCCTCTGTGGAAGGTAAATGTCTGGTAGCCAGAGACGTAGGAACTGCATGGAGGAAGAGGCCTGGGGATCTGAGCATCCAATATCCATAAATCCAGTTATCTCCCACTTACTACCCAGAGACACCTCTTTGACCCTCTCTGGAGAATAAATACTTCAGTCTTCTTTTAGAGGAAGGAGCACAGCCATTGAAAAAGGGAGAGGTTGGGACGCCTGGGTGACTCAGTTGGTTAGGCGGCTGCCTTCGGCTCAGGTCGTGATCCCGGCGTCCTGGGATCGAGTCCCGCATCGGGCTCCTTGCTCCACAGGGAGCCTGCTTCTCCCTCTGCCACTCTGTCTGCCCAGTGCTCACTCTCTCTCTCTCTCTGGCAAATAAATAAATAAAATCTTAAAAAAGAAAAAAGGAGAGGTAACCTGGCCATCTTGAACAGCTCTTGAAATTCTTATTTTAATCCCTGCCCAGGGTACTACCTGTAGGTGACAGCCCTTGCTGTCCTATACCTCTCTGGTGGGCAGCAGGGGTGCGGGGAGAAGGGGTGCAGGGAGCCACCACCACCAAGTCTGGAGACTTGAGGGACTGGGCAGGTACAAATCAGGTTGCGCCTCGGCTTTTTCCACTTTGGATTTAAGGTTCAGGTTTCTGCAGGTTAACTTAACTTAGTTAACGCATGACTGTTTGCTTTCTACCTTCTCCCTTTTTTTGTTTTTGTTTTTCCTACTGGCTCCTCTCATTATTGTGGGTTCACGCTTAAAAAACCCACTACTGTCATTTTTGTGGTGTTGTAGGAGGGAACAAAAGTAGATCTGTGTGTTCGTCCTTATTAACTGCCCTAACTCCCCTCACTTTTGAGGAACGTTTTCCTATTCTAACTTAAGTTCTCTCTTGATACCACTCAAATCTTTATTCTCCTCCGTTTGTCCTTAGATATTTGAATAAAATATGTGTTTTTACGTGTAGCTGATTGGGATTTAAGAAGAGTTCACTGACTTTTGCGTTTTTAATATTTTAAGGAGCAGGAAACAAAGGATGGCTTTCCTCAGAAAAGCAAAAATAGAGGTGAGACATACACATATTCAAATTTCTAAATTATGTATGTATAAGTTTCCTTATGGTAGCATTGTTTGTGGTAGCAAAAGACTGCAAAAAACCTACAGGCCCATCAGTAGGGGACTTTTTTTTTTTTTTAACATTTTATTTATTTATTTGACAGAGAATGAGAGCACAAGCAGGGGGAGGAGCATAGGAACAGGGGGAAGCAGCCTCCCTGCTGGGAGCCCAATGTGGGGATAGATCCCAGAGTCCTGGAGAAAGATGGATGCTTTTTTTTTTTTTTTTAAGTTATTTATTTATTTGACAGAGAGAGAGGATACACAAACAGGGGGAGTGGGAGAGGGAGAAGCAGGCTTCCTGCGGAGCAGGGAGCCTGATGCGGGGCTCGATCCCAGGACTCTGGGATCACGACCTGATCTGAAAGCAGTTGCTTAACCAACTGAGCCACCCAGTCAGCAGAGGACTTGTTAAATAAACTATACCAATCCACATGGTAGCATATTATACAGCTAAAAAGAATGAGGCAGATCTTTATATTCTGGTGTGAAAGAGTCTGTAAGGGCAGAATAGTATGCTCTCAATTGAGTTTAAAGGTACATTCCTATATCTGCAACGGGGTTACCTCCTGGGAGGAGAACTAGGTGACTGGGAGACAGGAAGTAGAAGAAAGACTTAGTTTTCCCTGTATAAACTTTGTAGCTTGTGCACTTTATACTACAGTCTTATATTACTTATTTGAAAAATAAAGTACTAGTGAATAGTTTTTTTAAAGAACGAGCAGGGGCATGTGGGTGGCTCAGTCAGTTGACTGACTCATGGTCTCAGCTCAGGTCTCCATCTCAGGGTTCTGAGTTCAGGCCCCACGTAAAAAAATATACCTATAAATAAATAAAAGAATGAGCTCCATGGCCTTTACTTGGCATAATCCTCTCCCTGATGACTTCCACACAGGAGGGTCAGAGGAACAAGGAGAGAGAGAATCTCAAGCAGACTTTGTGGAGTGCGGAGCCGATGTGGGGCTCGATGTGGGGCTCGATCCCAGGATCCTGAGATCATGACCTGAGCCAGAGTTGGGTGCTCAACCAAGTACACCAGCCAGGCACCCCTGCAGCTGCTTCTTTTAAACAATATCAACAGTCTTGTATTAAACTTTCCATTTTGCATTTTCATTCGTGTTTTACTGAGCCTTTTAGGGGTTGCATGGAGGTCTTGAGAAATGAGGAGTGGCCAGTGGAGAAGGTGTGAGCAAGTTTAAAAGGGAGGGAGAACATGAGAAAGAATTTGAGGCTCCCTCCTGACCTGTGGTCTTTCACACCCACTTACCAAGCGGAGACTCGTGTGAAATGGTGACCCCTTTTTATAAGCTCCTAAAAGCCCCTGGAAATGTAATGCCTTCACATTTTACATTGAATTAGCCCAATTATCATGACATCACTTTGCTAAATGCACTTGCACTCAAGGGATGAAAGGCTGGGAGACAGAAGCAAACATTTTGAAACAAGACTTAGAAAATTTTAGAGCCAAAAGGGCTTGAAGATCAACTAGTCCAAGCCCTTGCTTCGTAGGTCCAAGACAAGACATCAGAGGAATTCAGGGTCAAACTTAAGTCTCTTCGTAAATTCAGTTGAACTACACCATCCACCCTGTTGGAGCACAGGTGTGGCCTGGATGAAAGATGGGGTTTTTCTACAGTAAGAAAGAAAGGAGGGCACTGTGCCTGAAGAAGAGAGGAGAAAGTAGCAGGCGAAAAAGAGGTGGTTGTTCGGTTTTGTGTTTTTCCTGTGTCCGGGGCTCCATGGCAGTCTGTGTCAATAAAAGCCTATATTCGCAGAAGCCAAGTTAAGATAATCAGAACTGGTTTGAAAAGCTGCAAACCTCAACTTCCCCTTACCCAGCCCAGTCCCTTGACTTCCAGAAACCAAAGAACTTCAGCTCAAAGCTCTTTAAGAACCCTTTCACATCCCCCTTTTCCACACCTGGAGAAGGAAAGTCAGAAGAAGGGGACGCAATACAAACAGGAACGTTTCCCTATTTCTAGGGTATTTTCAGCAGATTCCCCAGTATCTACTGTATCCGGAAAGTGAGAACCATTTAGGGCAGTCATGGAGGTATTACTGGCCTCCGTCTTGTTTCCTTCCTTGTCTTTGCTATTGAAATCTTTTACTCTGATTTCAGTAAGACACCCCACTTCTACTGACGCCGGATTCTGCAGCCTCCTCTCTCTCGTCTCCATGCAGGGCGCGGGAACACGTTTTGAAATGAGGAGAGCGTGTGATAACAAGAACCGGTAGGGTCCACGGGGAATCAGCCCCATCCACCATCTCCAGGTTTCCAAGCTCGGCCGGCCCAGACTACAAGTCCCAGGAGACCCCGCAAAGGGACCGCGCGTCCCAGTGATCCTTCCCTCACTCTCCCGGAGAGTGGAGACAAAGGTTCCGCTGGCGGCGCACTGCGGGTTGGTTTGTTTTCAGCGGCGGTGACGGAGGTTGGAAGCCCGGCCGACTGCAGGCGGGGGCGTCGGGAGGCGGATTCCTCCTCCCCCGAAGCGCTGGGGTGGGGAGGGGGGCGGGGAGCAGGGAAGCGGGGGCCAGCGGGCCGGGGACGAGCCGGCGGGACAGAGGAGGCTGGAGAGATGGAGGGCGACGGGGTACCGTGGGGGAGCGAGCCCGTCTCGGGTCCCGGCCCGGGCGGCGGCGGAATGATCCGCGAGCTGTGCCGGGGCTTTGGCCGCTACCGCCGCTACCTGGGACGTCTGCGGCAGAACCTGCGCGAAACCCAGAAGTTCTTCCGCGACATCAAGTGCTCCCACAGCCACAGTTGTCCCTCCTCCCCCACGGGCGGCGGCGGCGGGGCCGAGCGCGGCCCTGCCGGCGACGTCGCCGAGCCCGGGCTGCAGGCGGGTAAGGAGGGCAGCGGCGGCGGAGACAGGGCTGGAGGGGCCAGCTGGAGGGCGGACCGCACCCCTGTCCCTGCAGAACAGGCCGGGAAGGGGCGGAAAGTGGGAGCGGGGCGGCGTGGCGGGGCCACCGGGCCTGGGCCGTCTGGTTCGGCGAGGCCGTGGGCGGGCATCCCTCGGGGCGGGGGTGGGCGAGGGGCGCGCGGGGGCCGCCCGGAGCTCCGGGAGCGGGCTGCGGGGCGCCGGGCCAGCGGGCGGTGCGCAGTGGCCGGTGTCCCCCGGGGAACGGGGAGGGTCGCTCCGAGTGGGGGGTGGGCCGCCGTGGTCGGAGACCCGCGTGGGGATGGAGGAGTGGGCAGGCAGAGGAAGAGCAGCAGGCGGGGAGCCCCGGGAGCCGGAGGAGGCCAGGGAACTGGCGTGGATTGTGTGTGTTGTGCGCGCGTGTGTGATTCTGTGCAGTGCTTTTGCACCAATCGCGTGGCAAGTCTGTGAAGAAGTAGGACTGTACTCTAAACGGGGTTGGATCGCTGAAGCAAGTAGCTGTCTGAGGGGTGCCAGCGGTTGCTCGTGCTTCTGGTGAAGAAGTTAGAGAGGGATCGGGTTTGTTGGTGGTGGTGGTGCTGAGCGTTCTTGCCTTGGTTCTCCCCGGGGTGTGCTGGAGTCCCAGAAGCACTGAAAATCCTGCAAGGGCTTTGATCTTTTCTGATTTCTCGCTTCCTCTTCAACTGCTGTTGGTGGGGGAACCGGAGGGTTTGTTAAGTATTGCGTCTAATTAGGAAATAGATCGGAAGGGAGAAGGGACTGGCATCCCATGTGGGCAAGTACGCTGGGGCCAACATAGCAAATAAGTCAGGGGGTTTAATTTAGTGACTCTCTAACTTAAATGAGCACTGAAACCAAATTAGCATTAAAAATGTCTCATGCTCTGCCCCACAGATAGCGTGGGTCTTCTGGGTGGATCCTGAGGATCTAAACATGGAATGCCACTGGGGGTTCTGTTGCAGATGGTCTACAAAGACACTTTGGGAAGCACATATTTATTTTATTTTTTAAAGATTTTATTTATTTGACAGAGAGACAGCAAGAGCAGGAACACAAGCAGGGACAGTGGGAGAAGGAGGAAGAAGCAGGCTTCCCGCCAGGCAGGGAGCCCGATGCGGGGCTCGATCCCAGTACCCCGGGATCATGACCTGAGCGGAAGGCAGACACCGAACGATTGAGCTACCCAGGTGCCCCAAAGCACACATTTAGATGCCGATAGCACACTTGAACAAGAGGCTCAGGACAGAGTGAATTGTTGAAGTCTTCAGAGTTTGTGTGTTGGATCCTGCATTTCCAAAGTTGCCTGTTTGATATCTTAAAGTTGTCTGAGACTCCAGAAATGGTGATCAAAGTAAGGTAGCAAGATTCTGATATGATCTAAAACAATACTGTTCCATTTAGTTGGCCTGGATGTAATAAGCATGGGAGGAATGGCATGATAGCGTTTCTGGAGGGGTGGTTTTGGCATTGTATGCCCGGAGATTTGCTGTTCTGAAAACGGACCTATAGAGGCTGTCAGAGAACTGGCAAGACGGGCTGATGTTGTCAGAGATGATCCTCAGAATTTGTACTTTCACCTCTTCCCCCAGCAGTGCTTTCCAGCAGCTTCCCTGCTCACTAGTTTTTCTTATAGCTTACCTAAAAGAGTCCTCTATTGCTGTTACTTTAAAACAACTATTTATTTTAGAATCACTACTGAAAAAAAAAAATCAGAGAGATGGAGGTTTTCAAGGCACTTTGACGTGCTCTTATTTTTATTCTTTAAAAGGCAAGTTAAGAAAGACAAATGTACCCTTTGTATTTTGCCTCATTGGCTTTTCTAGTTGACTGCATCATGAACTAATCTTTGCGTATTGTATTTAACTACTTCTCTTCACCCTCTGGAGTCTGTCCATCTGAAATAAAAACCAGGGTAGCGTGCTGATGACTGGACTGGGAACAATTTGATTTTGTTCCATAAAATGCTTGCATTCCTTTCAGTATGGACAGTTTTGTCTTTGGAGGTGAAAATGAGCTGGTATCAGGGAAAATTAGTGAGGTGGCACTTACTATGTATATTTGGGGAATGCCATTTTTCCAGCTGTTAGGGTCACTGTGTTGGAAAGTAGAAACTGCTCCTTAGAAGACAACTAGCTCTTGTTTTCTCCTTTTACAGGCTATCTCTGCAAGGTCAAGTTCACTCAGAGGCTGTCTCAACTTTCTTTTGCGAATGTTGGTTTCTGAATGGGAACTTGGAATATTAAGAACAGGACACTCAAAAAAAACTTTCTTTAATTCCCTTTATCTATTTTACCCAGCCCCTACCCACCTCCTCTCTGGCAACCACCACTTCTGTTTTGTCTCTTTTTTTTTACTTTGCCTATTTCTTTTCTTTTCTTTTCTTTCTTTTTTTTTTTTTAAGATATTTATTTATTTACTTATTTATTTATTTGATGGAGAAAAAGACAGTGAGAGAGGGAACAGAAGCAAGAGGAGTGGGAGAGGGAGAAACAGGCTTCCTGCTGAACAGGGAGCCTGATGCAGGGCTCAATCCCAGGACCCCCGGGATCATGACCTGAGCTAAAGGCAGACGCTTAAGGACTGAGCCACCCAGAAGCCCTTCTTTGCCCTTTTCGTTTGTTTTTTCAATTCCACATATGAGTGAAAGGAACAGTCAATTCCTAACCTAGCAAATCTCTGGAAGGGTTTTTTGTTGTTGTTGTTGTTTTTAAATTTTTAAATTTTTAAAAAATTTTTAAAAAGATTTTATTTATTTATTTAGAGAGAGAGTGGGAGGGAACGTGCACATGTGGGGGTAGTGGTTGAGGGACAAGCAGACTTCCCGCTGAGCAGGGAGCCCACCCTGGGACTCGATCCCAGGACCCTGAGATCATGACCTTAGCCGAAGGCAGACCCATAACTGACTGAGCCACCCAGGCGCCCCTTCTACAAGGCTTTAATCATCATTGCAGAGTGGAAGTGTGCTTCTAGGTTGGATGTAGTATAGTATTTGAGCAACTGAGGATCCATCAGTTAACTCCAGATTTTTATTATATCACTTTTAACCACGGAGGAGATGGGAAGGACCCCAAAATAACGCTTTCTCCTTAATTTTGACAGTTTTGTATTCTTTGGAGGCAGTTTAGAGAGTATATAATGTACATGATGTTTTAGGAGCTAAAAAGTACCTTTGCCTGCCCCGTGCAAAGCAGACTGAATTACAAGTAAAAATTCCATTCCTCCTCTGCTGCCCAGATCGTTGGCTTCTTTTCACCAAACTCCAGGGGATGAGAACCCCTTTATCTGTTATTTTCCTCTGTCAGAGGCTTCAGAAGTAATGAGATAAAGGTTTTGAGAAGTTCTTTGAAAAAAGTCAGAATGGAGTGTTAACAAAGTAGCAGAGGGAAAAGTATTTTTCTTGTTTTGTGATCCAACAGATTTCTTAGCTGTTGTAGCGGATCGCAAACATACGAAGATGTTGGAATGACTCAAATGTGTCTAGTTGGAATGCTGTCCTCTGTGCTGCATTCCTTCGGTCCTGTTTCCACTCCTTCTTGACTGGATGACCTTGGGCACAGCACAGCTGTGCTGTGCCAGTTTCCTCGTCTGGCCCCGGGGATTCTAACAGTAGTGCTTGCCCTTAGGGTTGTTGGGAGTTAATATATGGTACTGTGCATGTTAAGCATAGTGCCTGTTACTGTGCTGTGTAGGTATTATAGGTAGGTCATGCTATTCCATAGTTATTCAGTAAACATTTAAGTATCTGGTATAGGGGACAAAAAGAGTCAAATAAAGACATTGACTGTGGCCTTAGGCTGGTGGGAATCAGTCTTTCCCATCTATACTTTTCTCTTAAGAAAGAAAAAAGAGGGCACCTGGGTGGCTCAGTTGGTTAAGCAACTGCCTTCAGCCCGGTTCATGTTCCCAGAGTCTCAGGATTGAGTCCCGCATCAGGCTCCCTGCTCAGTGGGGACTCTGCTTCTCCCTCTGACCTCCTCCCTCTCATGCTCTCTCTCAAATAAATAAATAAAATCTTAAAAAAAAAAAGAAAGAAAAAAGAATTATAATTATCATCATTACAGTGCACCTGTTATTTGTTTCTGTTGGAGGGATGAAAAGGACAAGGAAGACCTGAAGTTGGTCTTCTAGAAAGGGACAGTCTGATGTCAGTCATATACTCAGGCAATATCTAAGGCAGAAAAATGGCAGAGAGCTAAGGTATGGCTAGATTATAGGCATTTCATGGGATTTACAATTCTTAGGTTTTTATAGCTTTTTGCCTTTGGTTAGCAAACCGCTTAGTTTGTCCAACATTCTTTGCCTTCTTTTTCACTCCTAGTATAAACTGGTTGCCACAATTTAAAAGAAGAGGGAGAGCAGTAGGACACTTATTTGAAATAGACATTTTTCTTGGACTCTTTAGGCGGAAATCAGTATGGTAATTAAGTGGCAGAGACTGGGGGAGAGACAGAAAATTGGGGAGAGAGGTGATTGTTTAAAGCCTGGTTTCATGGAGCTGCCTTCTTCCTGGGGCCGCATGGTGGGACGTCAGGCTGGGGTGTGAAACAGCCAGAGACTGGGATAGGTGTGCTTTCTGGAAAGTGGTTCGCCCTGATCAGATTTGACTCTTTGGTGTAACCTCTGTGGGGATGGGGCTGTAATTGTGGTTCTTAAGTCTGACTTCCATGACCCCAAGCAGGTTGGAAACTCTCGCTTTCTCTCTCAATTTTCTTCCTGTATGGAAGTGACTTGATAGTGGTTTAAAAGCACACACAAGCATTGGAATCAGACTGGGTTTCCTCTTGTAGTTCAGCCTCGTATTCACTGAGTGCCTTGGGCAAGTTGCTCAACCTCGTTGAGTCTTGGCTCCCTCCTCTGTGAAATGGTAGTGGTATGAAATGCTGTATATCGGATGATTCCATCTGTGTGAAATGCCCAGAATAGGCAAGTCATAAAGATAGAAGGTCTGTTAGTGATTGCCAG